AAATACTTTTGCTTATTTAAATTATAGTTTAAATTTTAGAATAATATAAAATTCAAATAAAATTCAAGCTAATCAAGCTAATATTGATATCAAAGCGAATATTTTGATATGTCGCTCAATATTGGAATTACATTTGAAATTATATATCTTTATATCACGGTTATCATTATTAACGAATATTAGTTGTAGACGGCCAGAGGTATCTAGATTGGCATTGAGAAAAAGAAAATGAATAAAATATAATATGAACTTAAGTTTTGAATTATTTTACTTTGCACGTTATTGCGTTGAATAATTCTAGTAAACTGCTAGTAAGGAAACTCTTTTTATAGTGATTTGAAATATTAATATATTTTCAACTTTCTAACTGCATATCCTTTAATTGCATTTGGGTTGAAAATATGGGAATAATCCAATATTACAGTATTTGTTGAAATGAACCCTTAATTTCAATTTCTTCAACTTCTAGTTCCCATAGTTCCTAATTTATTTGTTAAACAATTAGCAACTGCAAAATTTGTTGTTCTATTGCACGCATACAGCAAATTTTAAAAAGGTTGTGGTGTTTTCAGATTTTGGATTTGTCGCTAACTTTAATTTAAAGTGATCCAATTCACTTTAAATAACCAACATTACAAACACAAGCCGCACAAGCAGCACTCCAAAGTGCGTCCAAACTAAATTGGCCTTGGCAAAACATTGTAGGGTTTATTTTATTTTTTGTATTGCCCTGCGGTTAACCTCGTTTTTCATAATGCCACTGGCCCTCAAATAAGCGAGCGGCCTTGGGTTTATTTTTTAATTAATTAAACATGAAATTGTACAAGTAACATGATGCTGCTTGTTTTATTTCAGTTGGTATTGCAACGTGCTGTGCAGTTTTCATTCAATGAGGCCTGATGCACACCAAAAGTACGTCCCTGACTGAGTCCTGAGCCCAGCGTCGAGAGATGTCTCATTGTCAGCAGTCGAGCATTTCTCTTAATAACCAGGATGACAATGGAAACGAGTAAAGGGCAAAATTTAAGCGACTGCGCAATCTGTCGGAAGTTGTCGGCCGCAAATGGCCTGCCTGAAAGCCTCTTAGCCGCGCCTGATGGCCACCCTTGAATGGTCTGCCGCCGTGCTAACAAGCGGTAATTAATCAGTGGCGAAGCAGCCAAGTAGCGGCTAGGATTAAGCGATTGCACAGAGACAGGGCTTAAGACGGGGTCAAGGGAAAGAGAATGCGTGAGCATGCAAATAATGCAATAAGTAAGGCCAGTAAACTGATGAAAAAATTGTTGCGGCAAAGTTAAGAAATCCGTCAAGCGAAAAACGACTCTGCCGGCTAATGCTTAAGCCATTCGCCACACAACTGAGAAGAACAAGTAAGCAAAACGAGTGTACAATATTATTTAATTTGTATTTTAAGTTTTACCGCAGGAATAAATATTAAAGTTTCTTTTAGAAATTTCTTGATTATAATATCAACAACCGAGAATTGAAGAGTTTTTGTTTTAGTTTGATAAATCAAAGGGCTGCAAATTTAAATTAAAAGTAGTAGACAGTTTGGATAGTTTGATTAAATTACTTGATTTAAATTATGTGTATTTAGCTTTCAAATGATTTCATAACAGTGACCTTTGTAAGAACGGAACTAGTAAAAGTTTCTATTGTGTTCCATTTTGTTCTCAGAGTGAACATAAGAATAGCTCTTTTTTGTGGTTGATTGTCAAATATGAAAGAATGCATTTAAGTATGAATTGTCAGCTATCCTCTCACTGCATATAAAAACTTATTAAATCGCAAAGAGTTATAAAAAGAAATTGCGGCAGTTCAACAATACGAACTTTTAGCTAAAATCAAGAAACTGACTTTGGCTTTAATGGCCGACGCACAAAAGTATGCTGCATTTTGCGTTTATTGTGTAAACAAACAACAATGCCTGTCGGCACATGACAAGCACTTTGCTGCGCCTCTCCATACGTGCACACATGCACATACTAAGCAAATTGTATTTGCATTTTTACACACACACACACACTCACGCGAACATGCCGCTCTATGCACGTGAAAACTTTTGCCATTGCTTAAAGCTATCGTAGCGACTGCAATGCGGCCGCCACCCTTTTTTTGACACACACCCATATGAGTAGTTGGAATAAAGGAGTGGAAAGGAAAAAGAAGCGCTGCATATTTGCGATTTTCATCTTGTATGAGTTTATTTACCAAGGCAACATGTGCCCATGGAAAGACGCTGACACCCAGCCACCCACTTGGCATACAATCGCACAGTAGAGTCATTTGAATGTTTGGTTTGGAAAAATCAATATCTCCAAAAAATATCAGTCCATAGTTTCCGTAGAATCCACCTACTCGGGAGCAGCTTAATAGCAACAATAGAAATATCTTTCTGCCCCTACAACTCTAATGCACACATAAGTATGATCAGAGAAACAGGCAGCGTAATATCTCCATATACTATTTATATCTTTAATTAAAGTTTTCGCTTCAGTTGATAATTGACATGATTTAGCGATTTGAAAATTCCAGTTCCAAAGTGGTTTTTAATAATACTAAAAAAAAAAACACAGAATAAATCCAAAAATCTGATATAACGATACTTATATGCTTACATACATGCTTATATGCTTACTGATTTTCAATGGGAGCTTTAAGGTTTGTTTGGATGACAAAATTAGGATCTGGATACGAAAGCAGACCTGGTGCTTTAATTCTCTTATACATACAATATTAATTCATATATGCTTACAAATTTATTCAGTTACGAATCCTTTTAAAGGTTTCCTATATGCTTACGAGTGATTTTCAAGAGATTGTTTAATGTTTGTTCGGATGAAAAAATTATGATCTGGATACGAAAGTAGACAATATTAATTCATACATGTTTACAAATTTATTCAGTTACGAATCCTTTTAAAGGTTCCCGTTTTTCTTTCAGATAGCTATGCATTTTTTTAGCCTGCGTTTCTTTATTTTGCTGTTTTGCTACAAATTTTCTGCACATTGCTTTTTTGTTATGGCGTTTTTCTTGCTACTTCCTGCTTGAGCAATCTCGTGGCCCATTGTGTGCCTGCATCTGGGCACACTTAAGTCGAATAGTCAAACTGTCAAAGTGCATGTCGATAAATTCCTTACCGTCTACTTGGGGCTGCCTTGCTTTAATGATTTTCAACTGTCAGGCGGCTGTGCTTGTTTGATGGGGCGTATGAGCAATTTTTAAGCTTGATTGAAATAAATCGTGTACAACCTGTCTTGTGGGTCACATTTGGCAAGCAGCGGGGCATATTACATTGCTTTATTTATTTATAATATTTTGTTTTCATTTATAGCTTGTTTTGTCTGAGTGGGTTTTTTATTTTATGATTTAAAAAGAGCGCCTGTAGAAGACAGTAGGAAATCGATATTGATGGCTTTAGGAATAAACTGACGCACATGCTTCGACGACTAGGCGGTTTTATGGCTCTGACGTTGCTGCCTACAAACAAACTGCCAAACACAAAAAATGTTAGCAAACACTGACGCGGACAGGACTAAAACTGTTATTCATTTACTGCCATTGTGAGTGGATATTTGATGAACTCAAATAGTTTTTGTTTAATGTGTTACTAATAGTACGAATACTCCAATTTCATAAATATGTCGCTAAAGGGATTTTCCAAAGAGCAATACCGTTTGTTGTCAATCCTTAATATGGTAAGCCCCATGTCAAAGTAATACTTTGATTTAAGCTGGTAGCACAACCCACTTTTTGTCATCTAAAATGTCGCTTTTATTTTTTGTTTGATGACAAAATTCGAAACATAGAACGATAAGGTTTTATCTTTTTATATTAAACACAATTAATATAATTTTCATTTTTTCAAATTAATAGAAAACATTCATAAATCCACACTTTTTCCAAACAATGAACCTACGAGAGTCAGTCTTTTGTCCAATCGATTGTGAATCCATTTAGAAGGATAAGGTTTTATCTTTTTATATTAAACACAATTATTTTCAACATAATCGATTGTGAATCCATTTAGAAAATAAATAAATAAAATTATTAAAAATAGATAGGCATATACCATATGTTTGATTGTTTCACAGATCTGCACGATTTAATAATGCCCTCGTGGCCTTTGTTTTCCTGAAAAGAACATGACGCGCAATGCGACGCCTCACGCTTTTCGTATAAAATGCTGCCAATAAAATGCCGCACATCCGGACGTGTGTATATGAGTGTTATTTTTATGGGAACAGAAGTGTATAAGTAAGAGTGTGCGATCACGTGCGGCACAGTTTGTCATACCATCACTGGCAAAAAAATTTCGGCAACTGAAAAATATCTAAACAGAACGCGAGCGAATGGCGAACAATTTTATTCGCAATTGCTATAAACTCAACAATAACAACAGTGCCAGTTACAAGCAACAATAGCAACATACAGAACACATACATATGTACTATAAATATATATATGTATACTCGTACACGCACAGATGGCTAGACATAAACTGGTTGTAAGGAAAAACATTTTGAATTGCAAATCATAAAAAGGATTTATTTGTGGGTTCGGTACGTGTTGTTCTTATTTGTTCGAGCGCGTTTGGTAGGCGTGGTCTTTTTTTCTTTAGTTCCGGATTTTCAACTCAAAAGAGCCACGGCATGTACTACATACACTTTATTTATTGCTTCGTAGAGAGCGAGAGAATTCTCGTCGTTTGTATTATTGTGTTTGCCCTACCGATATAAAGACATACCCAATGTACATGCTAGTACGTATGTACATACGTATATGTTGGCAACAGCATCTACCATATGAATAATCTCTATTTTGGCGCTCGTTTTCTGGAATTGTCATATTTGATCACGGCTATATAGATTCACTCTATATATGGCTATATAGATTCACTCATTATTTATTTTACAGCAAACCCTCTGCAAGGGTATAAAAATAAGAATTGAAAAACAAAAATGTATAAACATATATTAAATCAATTGATACGAAGAAATTTCATTTCGCTGAATTTATTATTTATTTATATACTTTAATTTAATTTATTTAAAATAATGTCATACATAAATTCAATTTTCATATCATGGGTTATTAAATCAGAATGTCGAGGGCCTTCATAAAATTCTTCTATGTCCATTTTCGTGAAGTCTATGCGCCCAATAAGTTGTTTTACGTAGCTTTTTGAAAGGTTATGATTGATTGAAAATTTTTCATTTGCCTTCACATCCGTGTTAGTGGCTTTTGCATCATCTTCGGATGCACCAGAGGCATTATCGGCATCCATATTTACTTGATATCCATTAATTTTCACATATAAATTCAGTAAGTTGAAGCGGTCGATTTCGGGCAAAGTTCCTTCGATCGTCACAAGAAAGTGATCAAAAGCATCTGGGCTTAATAATAGAGCTTCATCGCAGTTCACCGATGCACCGCAGATGCTCCGAATCATCTGCAAAAAATCATTTAGGGTGTACCAGAAATAATAAAATACATAGATCATTTACCGAGGAGATATTCTTAGTGAGTTGATCATTCATAATGTGATCATACACACGTCCAAAAATAGGAATCAACTGGCCAATACTAGTTAGGCTTTCAGCTCGCTTTTCAAGTAATTTAGCACCATCTCCGGTCAGTGATGGCACCAACCATTTGTTGGCGCACTCCAACAGATCCATAAGCATATTGTTATCATGTTCGTCGAGGCATTTTGGGTCGTATGTATAAATATATTCGAGGAAGTTTTTAAAAGTCTCGGGGGTAACATCCTTCAAGTCGACTTTGTCGGTGGCGGCTTCTTTGAAACTGCTCAAAAACAAGCGATTAAAAAATTCCGATGCTACGCCTAAAATGTTTTTGTGGCAATTGAAGATTTCGGAGCCAACGACAACACGGCAATCGGAGTATGTGGAATCTTGAAGAAGATTTTTAAGACCAGGACGCAACCTAAGAATATATAAAAAAAATATTTAATATAAAAAATGCACGTGTATGTATGTATGTATTTGTATACATTGCTGTTCGTCTAAAAACGTTTTCATTTTCTACATATGTATGTACATACATACGTGGTATGTTCAAAAACTAAGGTGACTTCTGTATTTTAGAAAGAAGATCCGTCGCATGAGCATCGCTCAGGAGCTCTTGAATGACGTCAGTGATGATCTTGATTTGCTAAAAATTGTCATAACTGCTGACGAATCATGGGTATATGTCGAAACCAAAGCCCCATCATCCCAATAGAAGCACCCAAGAGAGGCAAAACTGAAAAAAATGGATCATCCCTGAGCGCCACAAAAAAGTCTAACCCTTTTATCTGTCAAAAACAAAGTAACTTGCTATGTATGTATGTATTTGAAATGTTGAACATACATACATATGATCGGGACATGTGTACCAACACAACAACAACAACAAAACAACATTGCTTGCGAAACTTGAAGTCACCTTCCTTTTTGAACACACCACGTACATACATACACACATATGTATTGTATACATATACATACATACATATGTACAATAAACAAGAAAGGAATGCTAAGGTCGAGTAGGCTCAACTCTAACCCTATACCCTGTACCTCCCACTAAAAAGGAAAAAATGAAAAAAAAAATCATGATGAAACTTATCATACAGACACATAATCACTAACGGGATGTAGTTACCAAATTGTAGTTAGAAATTCCTAGAATTACGGGAGTTATGGAAAAAAACACGAATTGGGCGGATGTATCAGAATAAAACAAGATAGAACGCTACAGTCGAGCAAGCCCGACAGTAAAATAGCCTGTACTCTCCACAAAAAGGAAAAAATTAAAAAAAAAAAAATTTTTTTTAAATTAAATTATTAAAAAAAATGAATGAATTAATTAATTAAATTAAATTAGAATACATGTTTATGTTCAGTTTAAACAGCATACATTTACATCACGTACCTATGCGTGTTTATATGCGTGTTTATATGCGTGTATGTATGCAGCACAAAGTTAAACCAAAGCAGCAACAACAACAACAGCTGCGGGCAGCGCTGCCGACAGAGGCAGCGCATGAGCAGCGATTTTACTTATGGCTATAACTTTCTTCAGAATTGACCTATCATGATGAAATTTGGCACACGGACACATTAGTACTAACTGGATGTACCTACCAAAATTGATTTCAAAATTCCGAGAATTACGGAAGTTATAAGAAAAAATACGAATTGCGGGGGAGTGGGGGGGTGTATCAGAAAAAATAAACAAACTCGTTCTGCCTAGGGCTTATAGGAACCTTGATACCAATTTTGGTTATCCTAGCTCTTGTACTTACTGAGATCCTTGCGCTCATACAGACAGACGGACAGACGGTCAGACGGACAGACGGACATGGCTATATCGACTCGTCTTCTCATCCTGATCAAGAATATATATACTTTGTGGGGTCTGCCACGCCTCCTTCTGTGTGTTACATACATGCGCACAAAACTAGTATAGCCTTTCACCCTTTGGGTACAGGCTATAAAAATAAATTTGACCTGTCTAGGACTTAGGGGAACCTCGATACCAAGTTTGGTTATTCTACTCTTTTGTACTTCCTGAGATCCTTGCGCTCATACAGACAGACGGACATGGCTATATCGACTTGTCTTGTCATCCTGATCAATAATATGTACATACATATATGTATATACTTTGTGGGGTCCGCCACGCCGCCTTCTGCCTGTTACATACATTCGCACTAAACTAGTATACCCTTTCACCATTTGACAGGGTATAAAAAACTAAAATATGTACATTTGCCCATACTGATTAATTTCATGGAAAAGTTTAATTAAGCGGTGGGTACGACATTTTTAACCGGGACCAACAACAACATGCTACAACAAAAATAACCGGTAGAGTTATGAGAAAACCCTACTCAAAATCAAACGACACACGGACTGCGTGTGTTTTTTCCTCGCTTCAATCTGTTTGTGCGTCTGGCTGGCACCACTTATCAAAAGAAAAATAACGGAACGGAGAGCATTGGAAGCCGAAAGAGCGACTACACAAATTCTTGTGAACGAAGCGCGAACGCAGCCACAACGCCGATGTAAATGAAAGAAAGAGTACATAAAGAACAAGGCCTGCAAAACGAAAGATCCGTTGGAAGTCTCACTGTTGAGCTTTGGGAGCTTCAGAAAGCTTTTTTATCAAATAAGCTGAACTCTTTTTATTGCTTTGCTCTTTATTTCTACCCTCTTGCTTAGCGTACACAAATTATTATGTTGGTCTTTTTTGTGCCTATAATGGTCGTATTGCATATCCCTACAATAACGCTTTAACATACATACATACATATGTATATACATAAACATATGTAAATATGTATATACATACATACGTATATGAATACACATATGTATGTACATACATATGTATGTACATACATTCATACATAATCGCACATCGTCTTCATATGAATGTAAGTACGCAGACATAATACCGGTAATGAACTTACCATTTATCCATGTTCAAATGTATAATTCACAACAAAATATTCTGAAGAATTCGTATAAAATCGTTGAAGCTTTTGAATTTTGTTTGCAAACACAGCACCACGTTCCATACAACTCGCCGAAATTTACACAAATAGTAGAAGCTAGGGCTGTAAAAACATCGATTTTTTTGACATCGTCGATGTTTTGATAATGAGTACTTGATTTTTTCCGATGTTTTTTTGAACGCGATGCATCGACGATCATCAATGTTTAGACAAAAACATCGAAACATTAATTTTAAAAGGAATTCAAAAGCAAACGTAATCTTATTGGAAACTTAAAAGCTAGAACGAAATATAAATTTCACATAAATAGTAAAAAAATATTTAAATCGATGTTTTGCCGCGATTTATTCAAGTACAATCGATGGCACTTGACGATAGATCGATTGTGTAAAACATCGATGTTTTACTTTTTTTTCCAACATCGGTTTTTTTATGAGACTATCGATGTTTCTCTATGAAAGTGAAGAGCTAAATTGATGGCTGATTGGGAGGTAATATTCAAAGTAATATTCTGAACTAAAATAAGTAATTATAATTTTCGATGAATACAGAGGGTATTCAGCTCAGAAATATTTGTGCGTCCCCGCAACTTTCTACGAATTAGAGCGAATCAGCGTTCAGTAAAATTGGGCAAATTATTATTATTCTGATTATTACAGATCGTCGTACTCGTCTGAAGCGAAACGTTGTGGACAAGTTTATGTTTCTGAACAAAAATTAAGACCTTTTTCAGATAAACAAATTAAATAATTTTTGATCTCAGAAATGGAATAAAACAATTGATTTTTATAATTTTAATGATAATTTATGTATCGATGTTTTGTATCCGCAAACATTGATGATTTTCCACTTACAAATTAGGCGCTGTTATCTGTTATCGCTAAATTATCGATACTTCGATGTATCGATGTCGAATGGGAGCTGCTGCTTGTCGGCTGAGCCAGCTGGGATCGGGCTCTCTGGGAGCGAGTTTTCCTTTCATATGAGGGCAGGCAGCCGACCAAGAAGGTTGTGGTGTCGGGATGCATCTGTGTATGTGTGTGTGCATTTGTTTGATTTTTGTTTCTTTTGTACAAATAGGGTCGATTTGCTCGTTGTTTGTTTATACTTGTAGTTGATTTTTTTTTTTGTTTATTTTGTTTTTTAATAATTGTTTCAAATGTATTGGAGACTCCTACGAAGAATATAAGAGAATGCAAATAGGGCGAAGTACATTGGTCCAACGACAAAGAATCTTCAAAGCAAGACATTATATTTAAAATGGTCCTTGAACAATAGTAGTTTTATTAACAAATACAACATTTTTACAGTGCCTTATTATTTATATAACAAATTTTTTGTTTTCATTTTATTATTCTACTTAGTTGTGTTGACACATTAGCTTTCAATATTTGATTAATTTAATGACCAAAGAAGGCCTCTCTCTACATTTTATTAGAAGTTGCCAACTGGTCTGTTGAAATTGTTTCTTTAATGATTTTAATGATGTATATCAGAATTTCCCTCTCCACAGCAACCACTGATTTTCCATAACTCCCGCAATTCTTGAAATTTGTCATTCAAATTTGACAAATACCTCCAGTTAGTGATTATGAGTCAGTATGCCAAGGTTTCATAATGATAGGCCGATTTTAAAGGAAGCAATAGCCATATATGTAAACTCTGCTTTTTTTCAATTATTTTAAAATTTCTATTATTATTCTTCATACATGTGCAGAGTATTTCAAAGTAGCTTTACCACTTGTTTTTATTTGCTTAGCTTATAAACTTACAAAAAGGACAATCCTTTCAATTTAGTGTTGCAACTTAAGCACTCAGTATTTCGACACAGAGCAATCAAATTATCAATAAATAAATAAAACAATAAATTATTAATTTATTTGATGTTTTTTCGGAATTATCTTTCAAAAATCATATCAAGAAAAACGTGCGCAAAATTTGTAACAATAAGAAAGTTTGAAGGGTATTCCAATATTGAGTATGTGTGTATGTACTTATTTTCCTTCGCTCTTGTTTGTAGTTGTTGAATCATTGACAGCAAAATTTGCCAACCACTGCACACTGACAAAAATAATTAAGCGACCGCAAACACACAAACTCAGGCAAACCCTAGACAAATAGGTGAATGGGATGTGGCAGGGAGTATAGTATTGTGTGCACATTGTTTGCATTGCGTTGCGTATACGTTGCGTATACGTTGCGTGTTGCGTCAGAAAATAAAGCACTTGCTGCAAATAGCAACGTTAAGTGCACCCAACATAGCAAATTGGAACTGTGGGCGCTATGGGGTGGCTTGCCCCAAAGGTAGAGGGTGGCAGTTATATGCACTATATCTCTATAGTTGCGACATAATGACGCCAGTACATCGGCGACAAATGCACATGGTTCCAGTTCGCCACGGTTCTTTTGCAACAACAAATATTGGTGGCGGAAAAGTGCGCTGCATTTTCAATTGTCATGTGATATGCGGGTTTTCACTGATATTTACATACCAGTTACTTGTAACAATTGGCATTTTCGTGGAGTGGTCGCTGGTGCTGCATGGCCATGGCAATTCTGTGCATGTTTAGGAGTGGCTTATAATCGATTTGGAATGTGTTTGACCAAATGCTCGTAATTGAGCTTGCGGATTCGGTTTCCGGTCTGACAAAATTCGATATTAATGCTGGTACTTATTATTAATTAGTAAGTAAAAGTTTTCTATTCTATAAAATTTATCCTTTATAGGTATCTCCGGGAAAATCTCTGACCATTTACTGCTATGATTCGGGGCATTGCTTTTCGGACTGGCTTTCAAATTTTCCCCCACCGGGTTGGAGATTTCCCTTTTACTCCTTTTACTCTTTCTCAGTATGCTTAATTAGCTATTAAGAAGAATTACTTTTCCTTTTCTACTTACTTTTTTTTATCCTGTTATAAATGTCGGGGCATAGCTGGCCAAATGGCAAATAAAATTTTATAGTTTTGTCTTAGGCTTTCTTATCTTTTAAGTTAAAATTATAACGTTGTCTTATTGAATATCTTTATTTTATTTTATAATATAAATTATAGTTTTTGAATATGCATCGACAGCACTATTTGTTGATTCATTAAATCAAATAAAAATAATACCTACCTACCTAAATTTTAATACAGAACACAGCCATACACAGTATGTTTTGATTCATATTGCAATAAATCGATTTGAAAAATGTACTTATTATTGAACAGCCAATAATTGGTATGTCAATAAACCTAAACTAAATCCAATTACTCTCTATTCTTAAATTCTCGATTAAAATGTTATACATCAATATAAAAAAAAAAAATTTTAGGAAAAGTCGCTTTCGTTTAGTGGGGAATATAAGACTGCAACCTAAAATTTTTGATATCAATTTGTGTTTCGTTATACTCGTAATACTATTAATATTGCAGTCATATGGGAAAATATCTATTAAGGAATTTATTTTTCAATTTATAATGCTTATAATGGAGATTGTTGCTTAAAATGTTGAAGATAAATTTATGAATTATGTTTTTGTTTGTATGTATATGTATGTGGTTTTTACGGGACATATTAAATTTACCAAGCATTTAAAAATATCTTATACGAATTATTAATACACTTTAAGCTTTTGACAAAACGACTGACATTACTTTTGGTTTCTGCCAATTGGGGACACAAACATTTTGCCAATTTTTAAATTGAAATTATTGCTATCTTTTTGGAGAGTGTTCCGATTTACAAATTGAAGCCCATATTCAATATGAAAAGCCTATACGAAAGACCTTTATGTTAATGGAATCTAAGCCCTCTGTCCCATCAAGCAACGCAATCATCATTCTGTACTATTTGGCCATCAGTTTGAAATTTGTGCTTATAATTTTTTGCATTATTGATTTTTGTATTGATTTAATATAATTAAAAGGATAAGTGCTCTACTGTTTTCCTTCAATTCGTTACTCTGCTGTTATTTAACTGCATAAATGATAATGTGGAGAGATTTAGATGCACGTTCCGAATTAAGTGACATACTAAACAAATAAAGAAAATTTCTGAGCAGCAAATTCTGAGGCGATTTATAAAGAGTATATTCGATGTGTATGAGCACGGATGGATATGGGTCCCAGGTCTATCGGATCTGCTATACCTCCTTTTGCAATTGCAACCACATTTTAATTTACAAGGAATATTGCTCTTGGCATATCCATAGGTATATCCGAATCGAGTAAGCTGGCATATAGAAAAGAAAGATGCCATAAAATTTCCCTTTCCCGAATTTAGTTCAGAGATGTCTTCATGTGGCGATGCAGATCAAGAATACAACTATATTATTTGTGTGCATGCATGTATAGCTCTGGGTGTTACAAAAACTGAACGATTGTAGAATACTCTCTTACCTTTCGCGTATAGGGTATAAAAACATGCCTTCGAGTGGCGCAGTTCTAACGCAAATGGGCGCTCGTTCGCTGCTCTGCTTGCATGCCTGCTTCAACAAATAGGCGACATGGCAATCGATTTGTTTTTTTGATTGACTCCTCAATGCAATCGATTTTGTGCGGGCACTCGTACAAAACGGCGCAGCTGGTAGAAAATACACACGCAGACAGACACACTCACAGACTTGCATGGCAGCGAATCGAAATTAACAAAAAGTCAACGCATAGTCAATGGCCTGGCAGTTTAGACGCAGACAACGGCCCAGTTGTTGACGCTTTGCGTGCTTTGCATGGCACGCACATATTGACTAAGTTGATGGTGCAGGGGGGGTGGGAGTTGGGTGATGGCGCCTGGCTGCCATTTGCCAACAGCATTTGGCAACATTGCAGCCGGCTGGTGATAAAATGGTGGCCTGCCTGCCGCGCGGTCTGCTTGTAAAGAACGCATAAAAAGCTCGGATCCGCACTTACACAGATGCGCAAACATTTCCGCAATCGTAACCAATTTGTGGACAGGATTTTCACGCAGGAGCCTCGATGGTGGGCCGTGTGCTGTGGGACCCTCAGACGAGCCCGGTTGCAGCTTTTAGCCGCCATGCTTGTGGATTGAAGTTGGTCGCTGGCATGCTCAATGCTT